CATTACACGTTGTTCCTGCCATTGGTGCGGCCCGCCGTCGTTTTGGAGGGGGAGGGGGGCGGATGGGGTGAAGGGGTGCAACTGATCGGCGCAGGTGGGTGCTACCGTGTGCACCCGTTCCCCTCTTGGTGACCTCACCGGATATGTTCTATGCTCGTATTTGGAAGGTATAGCTCTATGAAAGCGACACACAATCGACTGTTGGCATTGCAACCCACTGCGATGCCTGAACAAATGACTTCAACCCATTCCATCGCAACCTTTGGGTCATGGTTCTTCGCAAACACCTCCAATGCAACTTATAATTACATAAATAATCAACGCATACATGCTTCATGCAGCAGAACCTATCGCATTGGTTCACTGATGTTGTCCCTGACATCACATTGATGTCCGCTCTCCCTCCCTCGCCGCTGCCGGTATCTGGTGATCAGAACCGGCCGGGGGCGCCCCCCCCCCCCTACCGCCCCCGATCGGTCGCCGGCGGCGCTCCAGTATGATCTGCCATGATAAATGATGAGCCGATTGGACGGGAGCCGTGCGCCCGGGTGCCTGGCCACGCCCCCTCCCCACACCCCACCCCACCCGCCGCGGCTCGTGCCGCGCCACGGGACTGATCAGGACACTAATCAGCTGGCGAGATGACTGGCACCGACGCACTGTCGGGGTCCTGGGTTCGAATCCGGATAGGGCGCAGTATTTTTAACCAGCAGGTGTTGCGCTTATCATGCATAGATGCATTCATCCAACCCCTTTGCACATGCTTTAGAATCTCAGAGTGAATGCACCCCTCTCTGAAATGAGCTGAATTCAGTACCACCGCGAAACGCCGGCGCCGATGAGCGACACTGGGTGCCGCGATGTTTAAGCGCGCCTGTGTAGGCAGCGTGCGCCGTTAAATGACACCATTGTATGCAGCGCGGCGCTGGTGTCCGGCACTTGTGCGCCACCTAAGTCGGCTGTAAGCTGCAGCTGTCGGCGGTCGCAGCTGCAGCCCGGGACTGACGTGGTGGCCGTCGCCGGGTGCCGCCGGGTACTGACAGCCGGGATGTGCACTCGTCAGTGCACCGTGCACAGGCTGTGATATACCACGAGCTCTGCACCGGCCATGAGCTGAAGACAGTGACAGCGCCCGTCCCGTCCGTCCGTCACTTACTGCCGTGATGTATCGTCTGCGCCGGTCCCGGGGTCATTGTGCGACGCCCAGCGCCTTTACGGGATACATCGGACAACAGGCGGCCGGTCGGTCGAAAGTCAGACCGCCGAGCAGTCAACGGACGCTGACTGAGCATCAGAGACGGGGAGACTGCCTGGCTGTTGCCAGTGTCGGTGATCGGGTCAGGTGGGGCGTGGTGACTAGTGAGTCGTTTTCCGACCCCTCTGCCGCCGCTGGGCCGGACGGCGTCCCAAGCTATGGCGTGCCGACAATGCGGCCGGCACACCTTTTTGTTGGAGCGGCACGGAATGCGACCGTGTTTTCACACGTCCGACTGACAGTAGCTGACCGACTGGGTAAATAGAGACACGCCACCGCGCCGGTACCGTCACCGGACTGTGACGTCATATGCCACCTAACGCTCCTCTGTGGATGACGTCATGGATTGTTCCGAGTCGCAGTCGTTTCTCTCTCCCATTCGAGTCGGTAGTGAGTTGGCAGGTCGCTCGTTATCCCCGAGCGCTCCGAGACTGCCGGGCAGTCGATGTCGTCCATCTCATCTGAGATGCAAACTTTGCCCATACGAGACCGGCCCGAGTTACGTCGGCAGTTGCTCGCTGCAGTACTGAGGTATACCCTTCACCGTGACGTGTTCAGTTAGGACTTGCTCTCAGTCCCACCGGGGTGCGGCGTCCCTCGTCCCCGTCGTCCCTTCGTCACCACCGTGTGCACACCTCCCCAGCACGACCTCCACGGCACCCTCTAAGCACCGGCGCCGTCCCGGTCCGAAAACAATGGCCCAGTCAAGCGGCTGATCACCGCCGGCCCCGCCGAATATCCGGTGATTAATTATGGTGTCTGGGTGGCGGCCTGTCGCGCACCCAACGGAGACCTGCACCCGGCCGGTCGGAGCACCCATTGGAGACCTGCACCCGGCCGGTCGGAGCACCCATTGGAGACCTGCACCCAGCCGGTCGGAGCACCCATTGGAGACCTGCACCCACCGCGCAAGCCCGCTCTATCAAGCTTGCTTGGGTACCCACTAGAGATTTGCACCCAGTCTGCACCCTGTCATAGACAGGCTCCTGCACTCCACGACCTAAACATTCACTAGTGACCTGGCGCCTGCGGCCGGGAGCGGCACTTAGACCTACGACCCTCCATCGCGCACTAATGCACGGACAAAACGGTCGCAACGGACCGTCCGGTGTCCAGGTCTGCAGCTCGAGCCCACCGATCCACCCTGGTCTGCAGACCACCCTACAGGCCACGGTCCACCCTTCAGACCACAGCAGCGGGTGGTGGTCTGTTGACTCAGATGGGAACACGCGGCGTGAATACGATATCTCCCGGCCGCACCCACCCCTGTCGAAGTGACCGCCGCCCGCACGGGTACCCTCTCGCCGCGCGGGGAGTGGCCGGACGATGCCCGTTCAGGCCACATCACCTCACCAATACGACAGAACCATCAGCGCAAAACACAGCTGGTGAGTAAACTCACCGGCCGGTCGACTGTCCGACTCCGTCCATCCGCGGCCAGGACCGGGCGTCACTCGGTACACAACGAGCGCGCGCCATCGGTCGCCCCGGGCACCGTGACAAAGCCGACGCGCCGCCGGCCGACGCTGCAGAATTAATCAATGGCCAAGTAGCCACCGCTTCGTTAGCGGCAATTAGTTGCGCGCGGCGCGCCGCGGCGCCGCTGCTCACGAGACAACGGACGCGGCGGGAGACGGCACGAGACAACGGAGACGCCGGGAGACGTCGGGAGACGCCGGGGGGCGCCGGCGCCGCGCCGAGGTCGGTGCGGTGCTAATTGAGGGCCTCGTTGTGCACTGCAGCGGGTCCTGCCTCTCAGTGACCGGTGGGCTGAGGTAGTCGGACAGACAGCTCCAGACGGGGACAGTGTGCAACGTCGGGCGGGAAAACGCGCTGGGTGATTGTGAAAGTGTGGGGTTGGAGAGTCGAGAGGTGACGTTGGGTGTGTGCAAACGGTGTAGGTGGGTAGGTGGATGAGTGCTCATTGTTCAACTTGGATGGGGTGCATTACTAACTAGAGTCGTGTTGGAGCTTGGTGAGGTCATGACAGGGCATGGTAGCTCGCCGACAAGTGAACGAGGGTTGAGAGGGGATGTGTTTCGGAAGTTCACCATCCAAACATCCAGTTCAACATCGAGGTGAGAATGGCTTAGACCCTGCCAATGACTTCATCCAAAGGTAGACTCTCGATGCTATGACCTCGCGCGTTGCGCCTGGGACCGGACCGAGTCCCCGCGGCGGGTGTCCCTGGCAACACTGGCCCTGCAGGGTCTGCCGCCGCTGACCCGCCGTCTCCGTCTGGGAGACCGCACAACGAGGCTCCCACGCGGTACGGCGCCCCGGGCAGCGCCGCGCCAACCCCGCTCAGCAGGTAGCCGAAGCTCGGACGGCTGGGCTGCCACTGAGGTCGAGCAAGGAGCTTCGAGCAAAGCGTGATTGGGACGTTTGGTGGGTCACAGGCTCATTTTCGTCGCCGGTGGTGTGACGTTCTTTGAGAAACCAAACGAACTGATTGCCACAAAACAGCATGAGAAGACAGACAATATGAGCTTTCCAATCGACTCCAATGTCTGCAAATTGATGGTGGTCGAACGGTCTTAGCAGGGAATGTCCAAACATGTGAATGCGGTTGCACAACTGACACCAGCGAGTTCCATGTCCCAGATTTGCTGTGTCGCTTTTGTCAACACGCCCAACGTCTGCGCCATATTTACCTGACAAAAGCTCTGGCTGGCACCCATCGAACTAAGGCTGCTAAGCAGGCTCGCGCGCGCCGGTGAAGCCCGTTCACAATCGGCCATGTAATTGTCACACTGGAGGGGCTTTGGAAGCCGGGAGCGGCGCTGGGCGACGCCGGCGGCGCAGGGACGTCCCACCAAACAAACCTGCAGCTAATTTGTAACCGCCACCGCCGGTCCCCTTGAACCGGCAACAATGGCCAATTTATTTCCGGCGGCCGCGTCATTAATTCAGCGCGCTGTTTCTATAACGCGCATGAATATAATTGCCGTCGGCGAGCGGTGCGCTCGTGCGCTCGCGCGCGCGCCTTTAAATAAGCCGTCGGGCGTGTGTGACGTCGCCCTGTCGCTCGGACCGGACTCAGACAAAGGTGTCTCCGAGCGGCGAGTCGCGTCCCGCCGGCGGCCAGGTAGGCCATTCAGCCGGGGGGCGCCGCGCCGCGATCGGGCCGCCGGTCGCCGCCGACAGGCCTTTCTTCGGCCTACCCGTTCTTGCCCCCGCTCCCATCAAAGAGGGACATGAAAGTAGTGGTGTCAATCGGAACTTGAATCTTCGGAATTCCGATTTTGTCCAATGTCCGATTCGGAATTCGGTTGGACAATGGCAGCAGGCTTTGGACAACTTTGGACAATCGCTTGCTACACCTCAACATTTTTAAAAAGTAGTCGTGTTTAACATTGATTGGCTATGAGAAAGCTCAGCTTTCGATATGATTACCACTTTTGAGCTTGTAACGGTACATGAAAAGCAAATTAAATAACAGTGTTGAGTGTAAACTATTGCGTAGGTGTCGGACATCGTTGGACAAATGGCTGGCTTGGACATTTTTGGACGGACAATCGACGTAAGCATTGGACATTGGACGGACTTTGGACATACGTTTTCTGAAATTGACACCTCTACATGAAAGGGAGAATATTCGCGTTATAATGGGCGCCGGTTCGGCGCGGGCGCACGCCGTACAATAGCTCGTTTGCATTGATTTGCGTCGCATTTGGGGGATGCTGGCCGCCGGCGGTGTGGCTCGCACCAGTTTGCGGAGAGCGGCGACGCCGAGCGGTGTGCGTGGGGAGCGCCGTCGGCCGCCGCAGCGGACCGAGACCGGGTGTCAGAGAGCGGCTCAGATCGGTCCTCGGACCACCGGACCAACTCACAGACATGTAGCGCCCAGCTACACAGCCTTGTGCAACGCAACGAAAGTTCCTCTTACAAGTTCCTAAGTGTATTTTGTGTGTAGATAGTATATGTGCATTAGCGAATAGTTATATAGTGTTAAGTTCATATAGTGATAAGCTGGTCAACGGGACTGCAGACCTGGATTCATCGATGGTTTGGAGTTATGGAAGGTAAGTTCCACGTAATGTGGTTAAACATCAGATAAAAGCACAATTACTTCGAGGAGCTATGCTCTTCACTTACTAACGGAAATAATTCATTTGGTATTCATTTTTCTGGCATAATGAAACGTCCAATCACTTAGCAACATCCTATCTTTTAACTCTACGTGACCCCGTGTCCTCGATTTGTGTGTTGCGCTCCATGAAATTGCCGTCCAGCTAACAACTGCGACCGGGCAGTGCCGAGATTTGGCTCCCGGTCCAGTCAGTTAAGCACTACCAGCTGATCAATAAGCAATCTAGCCCGGCCTCCGGGGCCTCGTGAATTCGTCTGCTGCTAACGATGTACGGACGGCCGATATTTATTAACTCTTTGTCAAGATGCACTGTTCAGTCATTGGCTACCGTCTCAAAGTGTTTTGACTTTTCGATGGCGAGAAATGGCTCACTGTTTTAGACGGAGCGTAGAGCTCCGTTGCCTGGGAATTTTTCTGCCTATGACGACCGGACTGTTCCTTCATTTGGTAGTGTCTTTGTCCCTATTTCAACTGGGACACACCAAGCACCCATGCTGAAAACAAACGACTGCGACGATAAAAGCTGTCCACAGAATGCCGTCGGCTTTGCAGTTTCTTTCAGTCTTTCTTCCGACGAAGCCAACGAAATGGTGTCCTTTCAGTACAGCTTGTCATTACGGCAACTGTAATTGCCAGGTGTTCAAAAATGCTGCGACAATAATTGGACAAATGTTGGCCATAGTTCACCGTCTGGCTCATTTCGATCACCATTGAGCCACGTGCAGCTGTGGCACGGCCATTTGCTTTGCAGAGGCCGTAACGGGCTTTGTGAGCGGCACATGGATAATGATTAAAAATTCATCATCGGCTCGTCTGCCTTTGCTGAAATATTGGAGCAAATTTGATCGTTAGATCCACAGGCGGAACCCTTCAGACACAACTATAACGCAAAAACGGGTTTGGTCAGGAGCTCCAACATTGTTCTAGATACGCCTAACTTACAACTGTTTAGGCTTCGCACAGTCATGTAACATCATTATAATACATCGGTCGATGAAAAGAGCCGTTCACGTCACGGCGCTCCCCCGACCCTTCCCCCATCACCCGTCGCTCCTTCAGCTCCCGTCTGTCGGGAGAGCGGGCCGTACCCCGCCCACACGTGGTCTGACCGCCTCCCACGCGCTCCCTGCAGACCGTCCGTCCCGTCCCGTCCCGTCTCGGTGGTTGAAGGCGGGGCAGCTGTGCAGCGCGGTGGACCCACCCACTGCCGCCGGCCCCGCCCGCGGCCCCACTCGTGTCCGTCCGGTACACCGCTTCACGCACCATTCCAGTGAAAATAGCTTCGATCCGAGCATCGGAAGTCCGTGATTACGGTGCCTATCGCCGGGATACGGCGACCGCAAACCGCATCGGCGCACGGACCATCCGGCCGGGGCGGCGGCGCCGGTAACGGTGGCAGCGGTGTGCGCTCAGTGCAGGCCGGCCGGCGGGTAGCAGCGCCCGCCGCCGCCTCACCGGGTCATCATCTGACCTCGGCGCGACACGGCGGCCAGGGCCGGCCGGGTTAATAAAAGGTGTGAGAGCTGCGCGGCTGAGGCGAGCGCGGCGCCCCGGCGGCGGACACAGCGCGGCGCCGTCGTGCAGGGGACGTTAGCGCGCCGCCACTGGGCCGGAAGTGACTGGTGGTCGGCCGGAGACGGTGCGTCGGCCCGGGTGAGAACGGCGGCACCGGCGCGAGCGGAGCGCTGCAGTGGGGCCAACCAGCGTGAGCGGAGCGCTGCAGTGGGGTGCACTGGACCGCCCACATGGGCAGAGTTGAGAACCCGACGGAGGTTGGCAAAAAAAAAAAGATCACGCTGATGTTTCTAACATGTTCCGTGCATCCATAAATGTTAATGCGTACATGTTCCATCTTGTCATGATATGATGAAGTCGTATAAATTTCCAATCATAGCGACGACTTCTATGATAACAACTTTCGAAAGCACTTCATTTTGTTCGTTGCATCGATGACAGGCCACACTGCAGTCATAAATCAACATCATTCGTGAAAAACTGTACATCACTCGGCCGCCTAAAATGGGCGCCGGAGAGCTTTAATTGCCGCCGATTTAATTGGTCCCGCGGCGCGGCTGAGACGTCTGCGGCGCGGCGGCGCGGCGTTCCCGGCGCACCGGTTCGTCCTTGGACCCGGGGCGGCGCGGGTTGGCACCTGGGTGCCGGCGGAGCGCGGCTGCAGCCGTGTCGGTGTGCCGCCCTCCGCGCTAACCGAGCGCGCTTTACGGGCGCGCGGCCGGGTGGCGCATGAATGGACGGCGGTCGGCGGCGGCGGCGGCCGGTGTGTTTTATGACTGGCCGCGCCGCCTCCGGCCGAGTTTGCACGTGCTGGCGGCACTCCTCCGGCGCTGCCGGCCGCCAGGTGAACGAGCGAACGAGGAGGGACCGAGGGAGAAGGAGGGAGGGGAGAGGGGACGGCGCACATAGGCGAGGAGTGACCGAGAGCGCTGAGCGGTGACGCGGCTTAAACGTTTACCCTTTAATCCAGAGAAGCCTCGCATCGAACATAGCATTCAAACACATAATCTGTGACCTTTACATAAGTCAATGGTCTTCTTGGCCATTCAAAAGACAACAACACTTCTGACTATCCGAATCCCCACTTCAACAAACGAGCTGGAGACCGTGTTCCCTAATTTCGTGACACTTATTCCGGGCGGTCGGGGCGGCCGGCCGGGGCGCTGTCCCCGGTTGCGTGTCGAGGCAGTCACTGTCAATTTGCTCCTCCTGTATTATGTATGGTCTCGCCATAGTTCGGATTGGTCGTTATTCGTCGGCATTGCTTCGCGTGCTGGCCGTCATGCGAGCGGAGCGGGCGCGCCACGCTCTCTCCGAGGGACGCTTTTTCCAGCCGGCTACCTCGGTCAAATCGAGTTGGCAGCACGGCGAGAAAAGACCAATTAAAGTAATTTTTGGCCGCTAATTAAGCGCACCTTTGTGTTAGATAATGACAGTACCAAGGCCAGCCGAGCCGTGGCTTCTCATATTTATTAGCGCTGGCGGCAGTTATAATGACTTAAATCGACGCGAATTAAGAATTTAGGCATGGTTCAGGCTGGATTTTTTCCCTGAGTCATAACTATGACCAGTCAACGGCGCGGTCGGTCGTTTTTAGCGCGGCAAATGAGTGTGTTTAATGGCTCGGTGCGTGGGCCGGAAAGTGGGAACAGTTACCAGGCCACCGACACACACAGACACACACAAAGAGCGGCGGGTAACATGGGTGGTGGCGGGGAGAACCGCAGTCCCGCCGTTCAAAGTTCAAACTGCCTGTGACCGGTGCCCGTTCAGCGGGCCGAACCTGCTCACTGCGAAGTGAAAAACGCATCGCGCATGTGGGTGTGGGTCTACGGAGTTTTGGAAATGTGACAAACGGAAGTTGCCGTTTCCCCTATGTGCGTGTACTTGAGACGTTTGAAAAGGCCCATTGCTGGCCATATGTCGCAGCGAATCTGACGCCGTCTCTTTGTGTGTCCGGCAGGTGCTGTTAACTACAATGCTGCGCCCCTAGCAGCTCCGCTCTCTGCTTGTCGCAATGAGTACCAGCAACGGCGACAGTAGCGACACCGCCGCCCCCGCCCCCGCCCCCGCCCGCATGTCGCCCCCCGAGGAACCCTCAGCGTCGCCCGGCGCGCCGGAGCCGGGCCACACCGCCAGCGCCGCGCCCCCCGCCGCCTCCGCCGCCGACGTCGAACGATTCGACGGCAAGATCGTGTACAACCCCGACGGCTCGGCTTACATCATCGACACCGGCGCAGACGACGTGCCGGTGACGACGGCGCCGGGAAGTATCGTCGACCGGCGCGGCGGCGACGCCGTGCCGGCCGCCTGCCTGCCGCGCATTGCGTCTGCCTTCTACATCAGTCGCAACCCGGCCCTCTACTCGGCGTTGTACGGCCAGGCGTATGCCAGCCTCCTGCAAGAGAAGAAGGTACCAGAGGTGCCGATCGTACACAGCTACCGGGTGTTTAGCCTGGGCGACGACGCGCCGGCGCCGGCCGATGTGAGCGACAAACTGCGCCCGCCGCTGGTCGACTACTCGACGGTGCCCATCAAGCCCATCCTGATGTGCTTCGTGTGCAAGCTGTCGTTCGGCTCGGTGAAGCCGTTCGCCACTCACGCCGTCTGTGACCACGGCGTGACGCTGAGTGACGAGGAGCGCGGCATCCTGACGCAGCGCAACACCTCGGCCATCCTGTTGACGGGCGGCGCCGAGCGGCGGCCGCGCGTGTCCTTTCTGGAGCCGATGACGCCGCCGCCGGGCAGGCAGGGCGCTGGGGGCGAGCAGTCGGTCGAACGCGCCGGCGGCCAGCGCACCGAGCCGCCGCCGGCCGCGGCCGAATCAAAAGACAATCTGGAAACGAGTGATAATCGTAGAGCTCAAGTTTATCTCCCAAATGTTCCTAGCACCAGTGCCGGAGTAGATTTAAGTATGAAGTTGAGTGTGAAGGCGTCGCCGCCGCCGCCGGTTTCGGAGAGTCCGGCGGCTGGCAGCCCGCCGACGTCTGAGACGTCGTCTCCGTCGTTCCCGACGCCTCCGTCGGCCTCGACGGTCACGGGCACGACGATCGGCGCGTGCCCTCAGCACATGAACGGCCGGCCGGCCGACGAGGAGTGCATCGAGTGCGACCAGATCATGAGCTTCACGCGCTCACTGGGCGGTCAGATGGCCATGATGCACTCGCGAAACTCGTGCAAGACGCTCAAGTGTCCCAAGTGCAACTGGCACTACAAGTACCAGGAGACCCTGGAGATCCACATGAAGGAGAAACACCCCGACAGCGAGACCACGTGCATCTACTGCATCACCAGCCAGCCGCACCCGAGGCTAGCGCGAGGTGAGACCTACACCTGCGGCTACAAACCCTACCGATGCGAGGTCTGCAACTACTCCACCACCACCAAGGGCAACCTCAGCATCCACATGCAGTCGGACAAGCACCTGAACAACATGCAGGAGCTGCAGAACGGCGGCGTGCCGCGCGACCAGCAGCGGCCGCCGTCCAGTCACGGCTCGAACGCCACGCCGCAGAGCCGCTCCCCCATCCAGGTCTCACCGCTGCCGGCAAAACCCAAACAGACGTTCCGCTGTGACGTGTGCAACTACGAGACCAACGTGGCACGCAACCTGCGCATCCATATGACCAGCGAAAAGCACACGCACAACATCATGGTGATGCAGCAGAACGTGAAGCAGATGCACCACCTGTCTAGCTTGCAGGCGCACATGGCCGGCGGGTTCGACCCGGCTCCGATGATGCAGTTTCAGGCAGCGCTGCTGGGCGCCGACAAGATGGCAGGGAGCGGCGGCGGGCCCGAGGCTGCGCTGGCTGACCTCGCCTTCGGCCAGGCCATGATGTTCCAGATGATGGCCAGCGGTCAGGTGGGTCCGCCGCAGCACCGCGAGCCGCACCCGCTGGAGCAGCTGATGCAGGAGCGTCTGGAGCCACCGCAGGACCAGGTCGACCCCAACCCGAGCCACGTGTTCGGCTGCGGCACGTGCGCGCGCTTCTCGGCCGACACGGTGGAGGAGGTGGTGCGTCACCTGAGCCGCGACCGCAGCCAGCCGCGGGACGCCGACGTCACCCTGGTGGCTGGCGGCAGCTCCGTGTGCCGGCTCTGCTCCTACAAGACCAACCTCAAGGCCAACTTCCAACTGCACTGCAAGACAGACAAACATCTGCAGAAGCTGCAGCACCTCAACCACATCTTCGAGGGCGGCGAGGCCAACGAGTGGAAGCTCCGCTACCTGAACGTGACGAACCCGGTGCAACTTCGCTGCAACCTGTGCGACTTCTTCACCAACAGCGTGCACAAGCTGCAGGTGCACGCGTCCCAGCAGCGCCACGAGATCAGCCTGGTGTTGTTCAGCTACCTGCGGCGCGCCGAGGCCGGTCTGGCCGAGTCTCGGCGCGCCTACAGCTGCGCGCTGTGCCGCTTCACCACGCGCCAGAAGCTGCCGCTGCTGCAGCATATCGGCAGCCCGCAGCACCTGCAGATGGAGCAGCTGCGGCAGCTGCAGCGGCAGGCCGAGGGACAGCAGGGCCAGGACGACATCAGCGTCATATTCCCCGTCAGGGAGCTGGAGGACGAGTCAGGTGAGTCGGCCGCGCTGGTCGGTCAGCCCCGGCGGATTCGCTCACCCTGCTAGCCAGACGATCAGCCTCGCTGGTTGGTCAGTCAGTCATACTGACGTGACGCTCAGTCCCGCTAGTCAGACGGTCAGCCCCGCTGGTAAGACGATCAGTCCTACTGGTCGGGTGGTCCGTCCCGCCCGCCAGACGTCCGGCCCTGACTCGACACCCCATCCACCAGACGGGGCACAGTGTTGGTTATTCATCAGATGTGCATCCTGAGTGTCTCGTTCCTCTTATAGCAGCATATCATTCTCAGAGTCCATGTGCTTGGTGGTTTGTGATATGTATCATCAGCATGTTCAGTGTTAACTGTGCGTTTTGTGGAAGTCCTTTGTCCTGTTAGTACCTAGACTGAGGCGTCGCCAAGCCCCTTTGTTCGTGTCCGTGTGTTGTGACTTGTGCTGTGCCCGCCTAGTCTGGATGTCAACGGTAGTTTCACGGAACTCTGGCCCATGGAAGTGGGGCGGCAGACATTCATGCATGTCATTTATCCATTATCACGGATAATGACACGTAGTTTGACGTCCGAGCTCTAACTGAACATTATGCCCAAATAACGCCCAGTGATTAAACGGTGCATGACGATGACTGCGGAGCCGGCCGGGCTATTTGTTATCCAGGCACAGTGCCAGCAGTCGCACGGGTTTAGATCGGACTCATGGCTCAACCGGCAAAGTTCTACCGAAACAACGCCAAAAGTCCAGAGTGAGACGACGAGGCACATGGGTACTCTAGGCTATTTACCAGTCACGAGGAATAAGTGGGTGATTAGATGCCCGTGCGATACTTGTCACGCCTCCCCTGTTCCGCTGGTTCACATTTATCGTGATTCCGTGGCTGAGTTCATGCTTTCGGGGCAACGAACGCCACGCTACGAGCGTTGCAGCGAGCAGCAACTACCGATCGTAAATCGGGTCTGCTTACGAATCTGTGCTAAATTTCCTTCAAATGACAGCCTGGTGGCATCTCATGTCACCAATCGGGCCTCCACGTGATTTGTTTGTTTGTAGACTCCGGCGGTGTGTAGCGTGAAGCGAGTGAGCCTTCTCCATGACCCACTGGTCTCCCTCACACCAGCCCCATGGGAGGTGGGTTCACCCGTGAAAAGTTAAACGTTGGGTACGGTTCGCAGCGAAATCCGGACGGCAGGCCGCTCGCGAGTTAGGTGTCATTAATATTACTGACGCGTTACTAACTCGTTGTCACGTGGCAAAGTTCGGTGGCACCACTAGGATCGTGATACTGCCATTCCACATGGGCACGGAAAGCTGCGCAGCCGGGGGCGTCGGAAGGTGCACAATTAGGATACACACATCTCACCCGCTGTACTTTTAGATTCCAATGTTATCCTTGCCTGCTACAAGTTGGTGAAAGCGCACAAGTTTCGCAGGTTCGATTGACGGAGTTGGTGCATTTCCTTGAAATTTAGCCCATCTCATGCGCAAAATACATTGCTGTTACCTAAGCTGTTCGCCCTTCTGATGCGCCTGCCGCCTTTGACCTCCAGTTTTACCCGTTGTCAATTGTCATCACTTTCTGCCATTCCTTAAAGACCAACGCAAACCTACAGTAGGCGGCAGTTGGCAACGTTACGCTGAGTGTCACACGGAACGTCACATAGACCTTCATTCGCAGCGTTACAAGAACATTCATACATCATACGTACCACCGCATGCTGACCTGACACATGCCCTCACACAGTAGCCGTGCAGCAGCCACCGTGCGTCCGCTCTTCGCCGTGAGTCAGTCACAGAAGCAGCTGCCGAGACAGCGGCAGCAGGGGTAGCAACGGTAGCAGCTGCTGGTCTGCGCGATCTTGCCCCGATAAGGGGAAACCCTGCACGGCGCCGGCAAAGCTAGCGTCGTCGTCACCGGCATCTAGCAGCAGTGGCCGTAAGGACTCGCAGTTTGTTAGGACGGTGCGCTATTTTCTGGCAGGATTTTTAGTGAGCGCGTGGCTTGTTTTGCAGCGAGCCTCGCCCGGTGAATGAGCGGTGAATCAGGCCGGATTTAATGAACGCCGGGAAGGTATTTTTCCTGGGCGACACCTTGTAACTACACTCCAATTAGTTGCTTATTGTGCGAAAAAGAAGCAAGGTACATGAAATTAATTTAAAGCAATTTACTGCATGGTGAGCCAGGCGGGCCGTTCCGAATAGGTAGGTGGGTAGGAGGTAAGCCGGCGACGCGGAACGTTTCCAGGAGCTGCCGGCCGCTATCACGACTGATGTGTATCGCAACAGGAATAGTGGCACGTTAGCATTCCTCCAGTGCTTAGCGCGGACCAATGAAATACGGCCCGGCTCCAGACAACACTTGCACACAAATGCATCGACGCCTGATCACCGAAAAAATCGCCGTCCGATCAGATCGACCATCGCCGCGAATTTGGAAAACTCTTGGCCGGTGCTATCTCATTACCTAATTTTCCGCTACTTTGTGACACGTAAGCCGTGCGGCCGGCGACTGTCCGATGCTCTGCTGCACCTCAGCTCACTGACGAGCTCGAGCCGCGAACAATGTCCTCCGAACAGGTGTCCAAATGACTGGGCGCTAATCGGCGACAAGCCGACACGAAGCCCGTTTCCTCTATCAGCGTGAGACATCCGCGGAAGATTTAAGCCGGTCGAGTAACATGCAAACCTTTCGGCCAGTTACACGAATAGATCGAAGTCAGCTTCGGTGTTCTTAGGTATCCCCGGTTAGCTTTCCTGATATAGCCTAGCTATTAGCAGCATAGTTTCAGCTATCAGATGTCTATCCATTGCAACGTTAGCCGTCAGGTATGATGGATAAGGCCAGCGCTCATATCCACTCTAAGTTGATGAGCTATAACCGTGCTGCCAGTTTACGACAGCCCAAGGCGTTGGCCGCCCGCCCACCGCACCCTATCCCCCGGTACATCCGGTAGCCATGCAGGGGCACGTGCTCACCGGGGCCGCGTCGGCCGGTAGTGGCCGGTAGCCGCGCGCTGCCGCCGCGGCGCGCGGGGAGCCGCCGGGGGCGTGTCGGTCTGTCCCCGGCGGCCGGCGCTGCGCCGCCGCCGTTCAATTTATCAGAGCTGCCGCCCGGCGCCCGGCGGCACGACTAATTGCCGCCCTCTCCGGCCGGCGCCGCGGCGCTAATGTTTAAACTGAGCCGCGCCGCGCTGTCCGTCAGAGCCGACCGGCCACCGGCCGCCGCCCGGCGCCCACCCTCCGTCCGTCGGCGGCAGTAATGGCAGGTCACGCTCGCGCCCTGACGCGTCGATCGACTCCCCGTGCGCTCCGATAACCAGGCGGCCTGTTTTGGAGGCGGGCCCGCGTCCGCTTCCGTCGCACTGCGACCCGCTCCGGCTCTAAGTGATATTTGCGCCGGGTTACGATTCTGTAATTTGTCGGCTGGCAAAAAATGCACGAATCACTTATGCAAATAGCCCGCGGTGGCATTACTTGTTGCATAGTTAACGTTGCGGCGCCGCCACATGCAAGGGCGGGGCCCCTGAAGGCGCGCGGGCGGCGTCGGCGGAGGCGGCCTATACGGACGCCGTTTCGCACATACTTGACGAGCCGTCATATGGCCACCTACAGCTGCTCGCCGCGAGCAGTCCCTGTTTCACCGCAGCGATTTCAGCACGGCTACAACAGGGGCCTCCCCGCACCGGGCCGCAGCCAGGGCCGGCTCCCCTCTGCCACACGCGATCTCTCCCTCCCCTCTGCCGTTTCCGCCGCCGTCGGCATGCCCTCTGACCCGCCGTGTCAGAGGCCGTGGTCAGAGCCAGTGTCCCTCCATCAATCTGGAGTATCTCCTCAGCAGCACATAGCCCGTGAACTGCTCCGCAGAGTCCGCGGCGACTGAGAGGCTCCGTGTCGGACTGTATAGGCTCCCAGCAGTAAGGACAGGCCCACTGTGCGGCCCAGTCCCGACCAGGGGAGGGAGGACAGGGGAGGCCCACTGCCCGAGGCACTCTGCCCCCCGGCTCATCTATTAATCGACCGGCGGCTCGCGCGCGCGCGATCGCCCCTCCCCCGCGCAGCGCATATTAAGCATAAATCGATAGCCGATAGATCATCCTTTCCTCTATATTAATTCGCCGTGGCAAGGCAGGCGTACAGAGAAGAAATACGGCCGCTTGTCAGCCTGCTGGGTGTAATTAACGCCGCTAGACGCGCCCACCGGCGCCGGTGGGCGACCGGCCACGGACCCCCTGTCAGAGCCTCTGTCACTGCCCGATCAGCCACCCCGAGGCGTGACGGGCTGACCCCTCCATCAGTCTGACCCCCTGCCAGACCGGAGGGTCACAGTGTAGTACAGGTTAAACACCCCACAGCCATCGATCCCCCGGCCAAGAGGAAGACGACTCCGTTTTTGCCGTATTCCCGTTTAGCCCAACGTCCAGGATGAGAGGTGCTCGATGCATCGATTGCCCGAGTGGCGCTTTTTACGAGCAGAAAAGTTAGCCACGCTGTCCGGAGCTGACCGTCCAGCAATATCGTGACCTCTGGCCCATCGCGCGCGGCCGAGGGCAGACCGCCGCGCCGCCGCCGGCGCGGGCAGGGGCTGCTCGGCGCGGCCACACCGGCCGGATGTGCTTATTACGCGTCCGTCCTCGAGGAAAGCGAGCGCCGCCGCGCGCGCCCCCGACCCGGCCCGGTTACCGTCATCCACTGCACGGCAACGGGTAATTACTGTGATTAGCTATTGCAGCCACAGTGATTAATGACGGCAGCCGCATGAATATGACATTCTTTTTGGGCAAAATGAGTACGTCGTCCGGTGCCGATCGGATGGATTTATCGAGTGCGCCGCCGTCAGTGGGAGGGGTGTGGTGTGTGTGACGGGCTCGTAACGTCGACGAAGGTGACGCCCCCGCCTGGGGAGCTCCCGGTGTCCAGCTTCAATGTGGTATGTGTGATCAGGTTGGCTGTCTGTCGGTGTTCGTGTCGGGTCCCGTATAACTACATAATCAGCTTACGTAATAAGGTGGTGGTAAAAATATGTGTCAGTGGTGATGTGAATTGTGGATATAATCTGTACTCAGCATAGCTCCCGTCCACACTTTGTTTCAGTGTCGGATTACTGTATCAGTGTGGTGTTACCGAGTGCTATAATCACCCTTTGGATGATACGCTTACCCTTAGGACAATATGCCAGTGTTGCCAACGCCACTGTGAGTGTGTCTCTGGAGTGGAATGTGACGTACTGTTCGCAGGAACCCAGCCATCCAGCGACTCAGCCGACCAGCGCGACCAGGCGCGGCGGGACGGCGGCGGCGGCGGCGGTGGTGGCAGCGAGCGGCCGGCGTGTCCGCTGTGCGGCGAGCTCTCCGAGTCGCGCGCGCAGCTCGAGAAGCACCTAGTGGACGCGCACCGAGCGCGAGAAGACGTCATCCAGCGGCTACTGCTGCTGTCGGATGCCGAGCGGGAGCGAACGTCGCCCACCTCGGCGGCCTCGGACGCCGGAGAGCGGTCACGCTCCGAGCCGGAGAAGGAGGCGATTGACGTGGACGAGGCCGAACAGGAGGAGCTGTACCGGTGCCAGACGTGTTCACACACCTTCCACAGCGTGGATGAGCTGTGTCAGCACCAGCACGAGCACGGCCTGTTCGACCTGAAGCAGACACCCCGCGGTCTCGGGTACCTGTGCTCCAAAAAGGGCTGCAACCAGTACTTTGCAGGCGTGCAGCAGATGGAGACTCACTTCCGCGAGATCCACGCCAAGGCTGAACAGATCGCCGCCGTGTCCGAGCGCCACGTCTACAAGTACCGCTGCAGCCAGTGCAGCCTGGCCTTCAAGACGGTGGAGAAACTGCAACTGCACTCACAGTACCATCTGATCCGGGATGCATCACGGTGTGGCGTGTGCGATCGCAGCTTCCGGTCTGTGCTTAGCCTCCAGAAGCATCTGGAGACCTCGCACACGGAGCTCGGAGAGGCGGAGCTGGCCAGACACCGCGCCAAGCTGCTGGCCAACCCACTCCTGATGGCCGGTCTCAGCGGGCAGGTGCTCGACTCGCAGACCAACGAGATCCTGAAGCGGGAGAACGACCGTGATGACGAGGAGCAGGAGCAGCGCGAGGAGGAGGATGACCGCGAAGGGATGACTCCCGAACAGCGCCAGGTGGAGGACCTGCTGAACGCACCGGCAGCAGCTGAGGACGGCTACGCCGACCAGGGCCGCAAGTTCAAGTGTCACCGCTGCCGCGTTGCCTACACGCGACAGTCGTACCTGGTAGCGCATAACAAGACCCTGCTGCACCGCAAAGGTGAGAAACTCTCCTATCCGATGGAAAAGTACTTGGATCCGAACAGGCCGTTCAAGTGTGATGTCTGCAAGGAGTCATTCACACAGAAAAACATCCTGCTGGTACACTACAACTCCGTCAGTCATCTGCACAAGCTGAAGAAGAGCATGCAGGATAGTCAGACGTCGCCGCCAGCACAGCAAGAAAGCCACCAAGCTGCTCTGACATCGGCCGTCACCAAAGAGTCCGATGACGACCGCAAGCCGTTCAAGTGTAACATCTGCAAGGTGTCGTACGGACAAAGTCAGACCCTGGACATTCACATCCGTTCGGTGCTGCACCAATCCCGAGCTGCAAAGGTTCCAGAGCTGCTGGCAGCCGGTCTGATCGACCTCAATCGGCCCCTGATTGAAGTTCCTGACACAGCCAAGCAGGAGCAGCAGCGACGCACGCTCGAGCTGCTGATGGGTCTGAAGCAGCAGGAGGCGGCGACGGAGGCGTCCAGCAGCGGCCTGCCCACCTGCGGCCGCTGCTCAGCCGTCTTCATCACCGGTGAGCAGCTGCAGCAGCACCAGCAGCTGTACTGCATGGCGCCCAGCAGCGGTCTCAATGTGCTGGCCGCACTGCAGCTGCAGTCTGGAATGGCTAAAGCTCAGCAGCTGCAGCAACAACAGCAGCAGCAACAACAACAACAACAACAACAACAGCAGCAACAACAGCAGCAGTCACAGCAACAGACAGTCCCTGTTGCTGATCTACCCAAGTCACTGCCTGAAAGCGAATCACCGATGCCGTCTGATATGGCTGATGAGACCCTGATGTCTGCTCCTATAAGGCGTACTCCACACCTACAAAAACGCCTGCTGCAAACCTACGGCTTCGAGGTTGTCATGCAATACAACGAGTCCCACCAGAGACGCAAGAAGCCGGATGACGACGGCGAGAATGGTGACGAAAAGGGAGATGATGAAGGCGAACAGGTTGTACCGGAAGTTTCCAAATGTCTCTGTCCGATTTGCCAAAAGGAGTTTTCTAGCGTCTGGGTTTTGAAAGCCCACACCGAAGAGGTCCACAAGACGCTTGTGCCGAGAGACGTGGTCGAAGAGTACGCAGAGTCATTCAAAGAGGAATTCGAGCGGAAGCACAAGGCCGCCGTTTTGCCCTCTGATGGCAATCACGAGCAAACACCGTCAGCCCAGACTGTGCCAGCTGATAAGGAGCACAATGACTCCACTGCGCAGAATGACAGCTCTGACAAGATGGATGACTCCCACAACACTCAGACCACCGTCTCCTCGGAACTGACGGACAAGTCACCGCCACCATCCACCCCAACCCCGAGTACTGAGACAGACGGAACCCCTGCCAAGGCCAACACCAGCTCACCGGCCTTTAACCCGGTCAGGGCTTCCACTCCACCGATGACGCCGGCGCCGCAGCAGAAGCAGCCAGAGCAGCAACAACAACAGCAGCAGCAGCAGCAGCAGACGATGAGTGACATGCAGGCGGCCATCAGTCTCATCCAGGCGGCTCAGATGCACCAGCAGATGCAGCAAATGAATCCACTGATGATGGCTCAGTTCGCCTCCATGGGCGGCTTTCCAGGTGCTTTCAATCCGGCACTGGCTGCTATGAACCTGCAGCCGCCTCTGATGCCGATGATGTCTCCACAGCAGATGTTTGACCCGATGGCTCTTCTGGCCGCACAGGCTCAGGCGTTGGCACAGCAGCAGCAGCAGGCACAGCACAAGTCGCCCATGGTGCCGTCAATGCTGGAGTCGGCCATGATGCAGCACCAGCTGCCCACGCCACCAGCCGGACAGCAGAAGCGAGCCAGGACACGCATCAGCGACGAACAGCTGAAGATCCTCCGCGCACACTTCGACATCAACAACTCCCCGTCTGAGGAGCAGATCAACAAGATGGCACAACAGACTGGTCTGATGCCGAAGGTCATCAAGCATTGGTTCAGGAACACCTTGTTCAAAGAGCGTCAGCGCAACAAGGACTCACCGTACAACTTCAATGTACCACCAGCGACTACTCTAAATCTTGAAGAATACGAGAAAACTGGTGAGGCTAAGGTCGTTCCTCTTGACCCGAAAGTGTCGAACATTGAGAAGAAAGAGTCAGAACCTAAATCTGAGCCGACTGTCCCAGAAAGACCACAGCAGCAGCAACAGCATCCGCAGCAAGAGCAGCCGCAACAACAACAGCCGCAGCCGCAGCTAAAGCATCAACAGCAGCTGCAAGAGGAAGCATTGCAGCAGCAGCAGCCTCCACCTCCGCCTCCTCAGCTGCCACCGACCAGCAGCCACAGTCAGGAGAAACCCGAGACTGCAACAACGTCTGCAAGTCCCGGTTTTCCGGCGAACCCACCTAGCGTGTCCTCTAGTCCACATCCCCTGGCTCCAACTCCTGCCATGGTCAGCCCTAGTCGTTCTCCGGGCGCCTACTCTTCTCAGAGCGCCTCTCCAAACCCGCTAACGCTGACCAACATCCTGTCCTCGCAGCTAGGCCAGGGCGTGCCGCCCAACATGGCCGCCGGCAAGTTCCAGCCCAGCTTCTCGAGCAGTCCATACGCGCAGTCGTCGCTGTTCCCGGGTCTGGCCAGTCCGTCGCCGAGCTCCTACTCCTCACAGTCGGCCGTCAGTCCGTCGACTTCCACCAACTCGTACAGCCACGGCAAACGCGCAAACCGAACACGCTTCACCGACTACCAGATCAAGGTGTTGCAAGAGTTCTTTGAGAACAACGCCTATCCGAAGGACGACGATCTTGAATATCTGTCGAAGCTTCTCGGACTTAGCCCACGAGTCATTGTGGTGTGGTTCCAGAACGCTCGTCAGAAGGCACGCAAAGTATACGAGAACCAGCCACCGGTAGACACAGCTGACGAGAACTCTGGCCGTTTCCAGCGCACGGCAGGACTCAATTACCAGTGCAAGAAGTGCATGATGGTGTTCCAGCGCTACTACGAGCTGATCCGCCATCAGAAGCAGCACTGCTACAAGGAGGAGGACGCCAAGCGTTCGGCTCAGGCTCAGGCTGCGGCAAGTCAGGTGGCTCTCTCACTGTCCGAGGATTCGAACTCGAACCCGGGCATGGTGCGCAGCGTCCTCCCTCCTAACTTGTCCCCGTTTGACTCCAAGCCGCCACCACAGCTGCAGCAGTCTCAGACACCGACACCACAGCCGCAGGCTCCGCAGCCTCAGCAGGAGAGCACGTTCAAATGTGACAAGTGCTCGCAGCAGTTCTCTCGCTTTGACCAGTGGCGCGAACACCAGGTCATCCACCTGATGAACCCGAATCTGTTCCCGAACTTCCACACCTCGGAATCTGGACCGATCCCGCCGACTCCGTTGCCGCCACTGCCTCCTCTGCCACCAATGACGAACGCAATCTCGCCAAAGCGAAAGGCCTCCGAGGAAGATGGCGAACACGAGACGGAAGATCATCCACGGGACAAGCGGCTCCGCACCACAATCACCCCTGAGCAGCTCGAGTTCCTGTATCAAAAATATCAACAAGAGTCCAACCCTAGTCGCAAGATGCTCGAGGCCATTGCCCAGGAGTGTGGCCTCAAGAAGCGTGTAGTTCAGGTGTGGTTCCAGAACACACGTGCACGTGAGCGCAAAGGTCAGTTTCGTGCCCACGCCCAGGTCATCAACAAGCGATGTCCGTTTTGCCCCGCCATTTTCAAGGTAAAATCGGCCCTGGAGTCTCATCTCTCCAGCAAGCACGTGGAGCAGTACGCGCGTGGCGAGATTAACATCGACACTCTCCCCGACATTGAGGACGACTCGTCATCTGCCGCTGCGCGACACGAAACGGCCGACACTGGCCACGGTTCAGGAAACGACAGCTGTCGAACGCTTCCCCAAGAGCTTCCGCCCCGTTCGGTGGAAACGCCTCTAGATCTCAGCAAGCCGATGCGTGTCAGCATGGATACCGACCAGCGGCCGAACGAAGGGCCACTTACCGACTCGAGCTGTGACCGGAGCGGTGACGACTACGGCCTCTTCATGGACGGCCGCTCTGAGGCGGGGTCGATGGACCTGGAGCGGTTCAGCAACGCCGGCTCACCTGCCTCGAGCACGACCAGCCTAGTGCCGCTGCCGCTGTCTGTCCAACAACAGCAACAGCAACAGCAGGCCAAGCCCACCAAGCGCTACCGCACCCAGATGTCCCAGACTCAGGTGAAGATCATGAAGCAGCTCTTCTCCGAGTACAAGACGCCAACCATGTCCGAGTGTGAGCTGCTGGGCACTGAGATCGGACTCGCCAAGCGCGTGGTTCAGGTCTGGTTCCAGAACGCACGCGCCAAGAGCAAGAAGCAGCAGCAGGTGCAGGGTCTGGAGCCGGAGCCGCCGCGTCCGGCTGAACAGTGCGACTACTGCAACTTCAAGTACAGTCACAAGTACGCCATCCAGGACCACATCTTCACTCGGAAGCACATCGAAAACGTGCGCGCAGCCATCGAGAACGACCGCAAGACGGACGGCTTCTACCAGCCGCCGACCTCGCACTCGCTGGCCACGCCGGCCGCCGCCGCCGCGCCCGCTGCCGCCCCCGCCCCGGCGCCCGCCACCGCCGAGCCGCCGCCGCCGCCGCCAGCCGAGAAGCCGCTGCCTGCCGTCAACAAGAACATGTCGCTGCTACTGCAGATGTACGGCATGGGCGCGCCGCCGCTGCTGCCCAACCAGCCCGGTGAGTACCGCGGTGCCGCAGCACCAACGTAGTTAGTTCCTGTGAACTCGTCCCAGCGTAACGAATCTTAGCCTCATTTCTTCAGTTCATTTCTCATGTGTGTATTTCTTTATCTAAAGCCTTATGCTTCTCTCAAGTCTCAACCGCCATCCTTCTTGGACCCACCGTTCGTGTTCGTACTGTGATACCAAAACTCCACCTATCATCGCCCACTGCATGGGTCCCTGCATGCACACCTCTCCCGGAGACGGCCGAGGCGGCGACCTGGGCCGCTCGACCCGCCCCACTGTGGCGCCGTACCGGAGCCCTCACGTCCGGCGGGGCGGCCCGTATCCGGCGCGGCCGCCACCTCAGTCAGCGGATGTGAGCCGCCAGCAGCCGTGCTCGCCGAATTTGAATCAGGCCCGGCTGTGATTTCGCGTCGCCACCCGAGTAACGACATCAAATTATACGGCGGCGCCCGCGCGCGGCCCGCTCGTTCGCCGCTGGTTGATTATCGCAGTCAGCACTATGTGACGCGCCCGGCGCGCTCGGCGGAGGACGAGTGTCTGACTGTGGCGAGCGGCCACCGCATCGGCCCTATCTGAGCCGGTGTGAGATTTGAATACCAGGTCCTTCCGACCTGCCGGAGAGGTAGCTGGAGCTCGCGCGTTCATCTTGTTCGCGACTCCTCCCGGGGAACCGCGCAGTCTCCCGGACACGGCCCCAGTGTGGGCGCCTGCTCAGACTTCAACGGAAGCTCTCTAATTGAGCGAGATTGAATGAGACAGCCGGGAGCCTTGACGAGCACCCGCTAAAAGGACCGGCCACCGTATGTGGTCCGTCGCAGCGGCTAACAAAGTATGACAGATTATGTAATACACAACAATATGCGCCGCACGTCTGAGGTAGTTATTTCATATATCAGACTCCTATTTCAGGATCTAGCATATTCCAGTCAGAATAATATCCTCAAAGTGGAATTGGCATTAGTGCGGCTGACATAAGCTCGCTGTAAATATAGCAATACGGGCGTCGTGGGAAGACAGGCCTCATGTGTTATTTGGGGGAAGCGTCGACCGACCCACCCATTCAAACAGACACTGAATGAGACAGTGGGACGCAGAGCATGCAAAGGCTCTCACGCAACTGGAGATTGCAGTAACCGGCGCCGGAAACAGCCCAGCAGGGGCTGAGAGACACCTGGAGGTCGACTTCCCCGGCCAGGCGTCACTAGCTCACACACAATGTGAGAGCTCAGAGCGATGCAGGGACTCGGAATGACAGCGGGAGAGAGAGTGGAGTCCGTGAGAAATTCAAACGTCAAACACAGAGAGAGAGAGAGAGAGAGAGAGAGAGAGAGAGAGAGAGAGAGAGAGAGAGAGAGAGAGAGAGAGAGAGAGAGAGAGAGAGAGAGAGAGAGAGAGAGAGAGAGAGAGAGAGAGAGAGTCGGGAGTGAGCGCAGGGCTCTCTCTGTCCGGGTTTTTCATCAGGCAACTTGGTCGGCCGATGTATTTGCACGGGGCCCAATATGTCTCAATTAGACCACGTCGCAGTCAATAAAGTTGGGCCATTATTTTAATTCTCCCCAGGCCAGCGGTCACTTTAATTTCAATTTCCTTTGTATTTCTAATCAAACTGGACATGCCAGGTTCGGCCGGGCGGCCGGAGATTGAGTCGGCGCGTGGGGAGGCGGCGGCGCGCCGGCAGCGGCTGACGTGACACGGCGGCCCGAGCGCCACCGACACCGGCATGCAATTAAGCCATTTGGACGTCCACCCGCCGCGACCTTGGATCGAATTAAACCACTGATCAGACTTTTCATTAAACGATTGAGTTTGAGTGGCGCAAATGACGGCGGCAACTGCGCCCGACGCGCGGACAAGGCGCCCGAGTGCAGACGGCCTGCAGTTGGAGGACGTTAAACGGATCAACAGCCTGCAGCAGCCGCCGCCGGACACCGCAATTGCCGCTCGGCTTTTGTTTTAATAGCGGCGCGTTAGAGACGCGGCGCCCGGCGGACACTGAGACAGTGCACCGCGGAGAGAGGGACGAGGATGGAGGGAGGGGAGGTCTCCTCTCACCACCGCGCCGGAGACTGATGACTCGTCGGCCACGCCGTTCGTGAGAGCCGACCGCGCCCCGGCTCTAATTGCCACTAATTACCGCTAATTACGGCGTCAAATCGAGGCCAACTCGGCGCACCTGATTCGTCTCCATTGCGCCGCTGCGGCCGGTGCGCCACGGAATGTCGCTATGCGCCGCCACTGCCACCGCGCCGCCGCCGCCGCCGCCGTCCGTGCTCAAAGGATATTAGCAATCGCGCTGGATTCGCTTCCACGTATACGTCGCGATTATTTCGATCATAATCGAGTTTTAATTACAGGTGTGTCGCGCTTATAAATGACCGTAGTGTGCCACGGCCTCATAATTCGTGCACTATTAATGGCATGCCTGGATGACAATTAACGGCGCACCTCGCCGCCAATTTTCCCGGAATAATCAGACGCCTTTGTTAATCACGCGCACAGTAATTACAAACTGCAAACAAACCGGGGCGGCTGCGGGTCGCCCGTGAGTGCTGGCCTGTCATTAACTCTGACGGCCGGCGGCGCCGCCGACACCGCCGCAGGCCAATCACCGCGCCCAGACGTCATCAGCGTCATCACTGTCATTAGCGTCACCAGGCGTCATCAGCGAAATCAGCGCTCATCAGCGCGCGGGCGGTGCCTCGTCAGCAATCAGCCGAGCGGCAACGGGGCTGACTGCTCTGTGAGAGAGCTCTCTGTTTTGTTATAGTCATCTAAATCATTTGTCTCATTCGCATTATCAGCGCTTCATCTGCGCCATAAACGTCATCATCTACGTCACCGACGTCAGCGCCGGCTTCATCAGCGGCGTCAGCGCCGACCGGAGGTTGCGTGCTGCGCGCTCCGCCGCCGCCAGGTAGCCGGGCCAAATCATCCTGTCGTGATGCTCAAAATCGGAATCTCACCTTAATTACAGGTAATTATGAGTCAGCCTTGAAACGCCTGGTTTATTCGCCGTAATTCAATGCGCGGCTGCCGAGCCGGGGGCGGCGGAGGACTGCGCCGCCCCCGCCGCTGCTCGCTCGTAGTGTGCTGTCACTGCCGACACCTCCGAGAACGCGGGGTCACCCGTGACGCCGCGCCGTGTTGTGACCGGTCGCCGGGCGGCGGCTTTAATTGTGCGCGCTACTTCACGTGATGACTGCTCCGTCGTCGTCGACGCCCGTCCGCCGCGTTTCGACACCATCGATTGGAGGAGTGGCGCGCGACGGCGTGCAGCCGGCCGTCGCGCCGCCGCCGGTGCGTCGTTAATTGTCACCGGCGCGAGTTGGCCGCCGGCGAGAGGGCTCGGAACAAACAACAGGCCGCAGGTCAATGGTGACCGAGTCTCTCCGAGGAGCTGAAAGGCTTCGAGTGGCGGCGTCACGGCGGTCAGACACCAGCGACAGAGCCGGTGTGCACAGCTAAATCGTAATCGCCGACCAGTCAATTAAAGACAACGTCAAATGTCACTCTGTGGACCGTTGGGCGCGGTCGATAGCTCATTTGTCGCGGCGGTGGGGACGAAAACAGGCCGCGCTCGGCGCCGGGTGTGATGCACAATTAGTGGCCGGTGAGCGGCGCGTCACTGGCTGACCGGAGCAGCTCGGAGCGCTGCTGGTGAGCAGCTCGGAGCGCTGCTGGTGAGCAGCAGCTCGGAGCGCTGCTGGTGTCTAAATTAGCAGCGCCGGCAGCAGGTGGCACGCGCTGAGCTCCTGCTGCTGCCGCTGCCGCCGGCTGTCAGACAGATTCTGTGTCGAAACGGCCGCAGGGCGAATGCCGCGCTGTTGCTGAGTAGTTAGAGCTGCAGCTCAGAGCAGGTGAAGCTGCGCTGAGTAATGACAATCGGCGGTAACGGGAGCTCCTTATCGTGCACGGGAAACAAGGGCGAGCTACCGATCAGGGACGGTTAAAAAGGATGTGTTGTCTGGGATGACTGGACAGCTGGATGACGCGTTTACCAGCCGTTGGGATCATAGTTATTTCTCGATGGATGGATATTGGATGCTCCCTTCCCACGCCCAACTATCCACACACCTCGTGGATAATGGTTCGACCCAAGGCCCTATATGTTCGACCCATCCCGTATAAACCAGTGGCCCGGTCTGTCACCGGGCCGGCCGGCCGACCACCGTGCGCCCACCGTCCGCCGCGCACCATCACGTGTCGGCTTCGGTTTCGGTGCGACGCTCCCAGCGTCGTTCCACGCCGCAACTGGGGTGTGAGCTAACGCGGCCCGACGCCGGCCGCGTGGTCCACCGGTAGGTCACCGCTCGGGTCCGTGGTCCGATGGCCTCGGTCCGGTCTGGTCCGATCCGGTCGGCCGGCACGTTCGCCCGCTCTGGTCCGGGACGCACGTGACATATCTGGCGTGGGACGCCTATTTTGATCCGCGTTTCCGCCGATGTAATTTGTACGTGTCCATCGAGGGCCATTGTGGTGCCGACTAATTGTGACGCTCGCATTGAAATTACGGACGCCGAATCTGAAATTACAGAACGGTCGAGTAATGAGCGGCCAGTGCCCAGTGTAATTATTGGTTTATCTCGGCTGGCCGGCGCCGGCGCCGCTGTCTCCCCCTCCCCGGGCCGCCAGGGCCGGTGAGCGTCATCGGAGGCTGGGACCCGTCCGTCATCATCCGTCCGTCCGTCCGTCCGTCCGTCCGTCCGTGGGGGACGAGGGATATCAGGCCAGGTGGGCGGTGGACAGGGGGCTGAACTGGCTCAGATTTCGGGAATAGATCAATGCTTTTGTGTACGCGCAGGCGATTGGTAATAAGCATAGATAGCATTTTGCACTGAAAAATTGTCACGAACACGTACACGTGACTCGGTAATTTGCGCACCACTTTTCATGATGATGAGTCTGCGGTGGTCAGCCATGAGCTGACGTCTCTGTGTCCCCCCTCACCCCACCGGGCCGGCGCGCGTGGCCGGCGGCGTCCCCTCTGAG